GCCCTCTTAGAGAAGAATTTTGGGATGGAATTGCAAAGATTTATTTGGTGCCTTCACAGATAGACCTGCCATTTAAAAATTTAAGGGGTTCTGAGTCCTGAACTGTTCGAGAGAACGAATTGGTCCTCTCGCACCAAGGTGGATTATAATGCGTAGAGTTAGTTATATAAATCATATTTACTTACGCTTGATTTGAATATGAAGTATAAAAGCTCATTCGAGTTGTGTCTATGATAAAGCTTAGAAGGTAGCAATTTATTTTAAAGGATTAGATTTATTTAGTTTTGTTTTAGAACCATCTACTTCTGAGGTGCCCTGTCAAAATAAAAGGGTATAGGTTGTCCCGGCAAAAAGCCTTTCCTTAAATTATTAATGACGATCCTAAAGACGTAATTTGTCATGAACACTTCAGAAGAATTGAATGAAATAAAGGATATGCCCGCTGTAAACAATGTCCGGAGGAACCGTTATTGTAGCTTTTGCTCCTTTTTACGGTGTGAAGATGTTTTTACCATTGGTAAATTTCGAGTAACACGTTAACCCAATTCGGACACGCACTCTAGTTCGTCACTTACCATGTATTCGACAAACCCTGAGGTTCGACTCTGTCCGAACTAAAGTGCTCTATCTAGGAGACAAGTTCGATACGCACTAAAGTAGACCAAGGAGAAACTTTGACTGTCGGACAAACAGTTTTGAAATCTCCATATCCACAACGATCCTTTACGAGCTTGAAATCTATTCGTTTGTTAGTTTTCCACTTGTCCATGCTGTTCAATGATGTGTTTATATAATTTCTATAATCCATATCTATGGACATTTAATTGAAACCTCATACTGCCATTGTTAGTTATTCAATTGTAGGCCTGAACGGAGAAATAAAAGAGAAACGTGGTAACTCTTACTTTCCGTATTGTAGATCTAGATTGTAGATTATACAAGTGAAGTAGTTAGCTAATTTAGTGATTCACAACCCGGCGCGAGAACAAAGCGCCAGGAAATAAACATTTTTCGCGCAACTTTGTAAATTTACTTACGCCGCGCAGAGATGTTTCCTTCATGTTATCCATAATACTCCGGATATTTGGATACGAAACATGTATCAAGTTTTGAGCAAAAGCGAATTTACTATAAGCTTTTTATTACTATTCTATAGCTTATTATTACTATATATATTATATCCCCATTTTAATGACAGAACGTTATTTTTGAGTTTATCCAAATTTTATATTGTCAATTGTTGTGGCATAAAAAGTATTTTATAAATGTTCATGTCTTTTGAGAAATTTTGATTAGGTTTTTTAAATAGATCGTTGCTCTGTTAATAGTAAGCAACGATCTGGAGGGTTTGACAATCATCTCAGTATTAATGGTTCTCATCACTATATACACATAGTAAGTCATTTATATAGTACTCAGCAAATGGATGTAGGTCGCGCCGCGCACATTCACTGTCTGTGTTTAAAAATTTGGAGTATTGTAGCAAAATCGAGCGCTACTCTCAAACTCGTAAATCAGGTCATTTCGAAATGAAACAATACACTTTATGTCTTGCATAACCGTTTCGAGTGGAGATAGTATAGCTAGTGTTAGTATATTGGTAGCACAAGTGCTGAAGGGTACCTATTATTCCCTTAAATTTTTATTAATGATGCCCCTACAAGATCTATGACTTTTAAACAAGGACCCCCTACTAGCAATTAACACCCAAAGATTGCGGGCTCACTGACTACGGTTGTAAGCTAAAGTTTATATCGGAAATTTGGATGAGTAGATTACAGTGAGAAGGTATTTTTCCCCAAGTTCCTTGACTATATGATTCACATGAAATGCTTAAATGGTATGAAGCTTCAAGCTTTAAAAAACTGTCATACAATTTCAAGTTTAAGGCCAGAGGGGGGGGGGGGGGTAAGGGTCAAAAAATTCTAAACAAAATAGTATTTTCTAAATCGAATTTAATTTTTAATGACAAAAACATTGCCGCTATTCACGATATTTGTAGCTGATTAACTTTATTTTAAAATTAGGGTTAACCGATTTCACAAAATTGACCTATACAACATTGAGGTTAATAAAATTGAGGTTAATATTTTATTAACACGCATAATTTTTTGTTATTTCGTCAAGCAAATGTAAAACTCTAAATTTTTAGGTTCATAATGTCAGAAAAAGTATATCCAAACGTGATTAAATGAGGTACCTCGTCTTTTAGATATAGCGAGAATAGATCAAATGATAGAGTTATATTATTTTCACATCGTAAGTTTACGGTAATAACACATTTCTAAATAGATGACGTGGTAGATTGACTTCTTTATCTTGGGAAAATGAAAAAAAATGAGGTTTAACCAACACATTTGGTACCGTAGGGAATATACAACCGAATTCTTATTTATGTAATGCACCACAATATCGAAGTTGAGGTATCTATTGGTATCATCAATGCCTACACTATAAGCAACTGACAAAGGGTGATTCGAACTGACCATTTTTAGTAGAAGATTTTACCCGTAAAATGGCTAAAAAATGAGGTTAACCTCTCATCTTTTAATACCTGACTAATCAATTATATTTAACCTCAAAAACTTAATCGTTATACTGTGCAAATGGTTTACTAACATATAAAATTAACATATTGATAAACCCAATCCCAGTGTTTATATGGTCTAAAGCGAGTTAACAACAAATTTAAGTAGTTTATTGTTTACAGGAAGTCTTGGTTAACCTCATTTTTTACAAATACAAGGAAATTAACTAACTGAAAGTAGCTTAAAATCATTTAGGGGACGGCCAGGTCTGATCAAGCAAACAAGCAAACGTTATTAAAGTTTATAAAAAGTCCTATACTAACGAAACTGTGATACATTCCCGTGAATAATTTTCAATAATTTTGAAAACACTAAATTGCATCTATTCAAACACATTTTTTGACCCTTTCGAATCCTTAGTTGAGAAAAACCAGCCACCCCCTGATATGAGATTTGGTACATGGTTCCTTGGAAATTAGTCCTCATATATTATGTGACCATTTTTTTTATTGACTCGTTCCGAATTATGAGGTTTAAACCAGCGAAGGGTAGAGCATGAGTTATGTAACCACGCCTTTTTGCGCTCTCGTGAGTAGCAATTACAGCATTTAATACAAGATATCCTGGTTTCTAATGCCGATGTAATGGGAGCTAAGCGCTAATATTGGACGTTAAAATGTCCATAATTATCACATTGGGGTCAGGCTTCACGTTGTTCAGTTATTATGCCACACTCTATTTTTACGCTCTTACATGTAAGAATTACCACACTTATTTCAAGAAATCCAGGCTTCTAATTGTAGTTATTTATTTATTAATTATCAAACTTTACACAAATCCAAAGTAGTTACTAAGAACATCCTAAAGACCTGATAAGTCTACTTAAAAGTCTTGCAGAACTGAAAACTTACTATAAATGCAAAAAATGGAACTTAAAACTGAAATTATCAAAATCAAAAATTATGCAAAGAATTGAACTTAAAACTGAAATTATAGAACTAAACAAATTCAAAATAAATTTCTCCACAATTGGCGGTTCGAGGCTGAATACCTTAAGTCTGTCAAGTCGTCACTATTATTCAAATAAATATTTCTTTTATTCAAATCGTTTAAAATAGTTTTAAAAATATTACATTGATGTCTACCAATCCTACCCCTCATATTTGACATACAGGGTGGGCCAAAAGTCAGTACCCATACGTTGGCCTCAATAGCTCCGCCGTGTTTTATATTTGAGAGCTGTTGCTTTGCAGATGGTATACTGTACTTACTGGTTCAAGGATTCCGTCGTCAAAATTTGAAAATTCGAATATTTTAGACCACGCCCATTCAATATTAAAACACCTATATTGTTTTCTCTGAACATGCTGAACGCCTAATTTTTTCAGGGACGGTAGATTATCAAATGTTGCATATGATCTAAAAACATGAGGCAAAACGGATTAGAAATGACGAAGTTATCAAGCATTTTCTGTATCTCGTTAACAATATTGACTGGGTGATTATGTGACACCGTGACACGACACCTTAATTGGGCAATTCCCATAATGTTTAACGGGGTAGTTAACGGGGGCACCTTATCACGTGATTAGGTAAACCAATCACCTGATCACACGTAATGAATAAACTCGTTATGCTTCATATCTCGGTCATCTGAGAAGCTACAGTTCTAATTCTTTCAGGACAAACGTAATTCGAATGGCCAAACACAATTCAATAACATTTAGCTTGATCCGACTATCCAAACTATCAAATAAATGTGAAAATGAACCTCCATTTGAAAAAAATGAACGCGAATATTTTTCGAGTTGACAAATTCCTTGAACCAGCGGTGGTACTAAGTCATACCAGAAAGAAGTATTTAAATTGGGCACTCAGTGACTGAGCTATAAAGGCCAACGTATGGGTACTGACTTTTGGCCCACCCTGTACTATCAACAGCAAAATTTAGAGCTAGTTGTAGTAAGGAGTTCAACTAGGGCATTTACTTATTTATATTGTTAGAGCTCGCTTTATATTGTTAGAGCTCGCTTTATATTGTTAGAGCTCGCTTTATATTGTTAGAGCTCGCTTTATATTGTTAGAGCTCGCTTTATATTGTTAGAGCTCGCTTTATATTGTTAGAGCTCGCTTTATATTGTTAGAGCTCGCTTTATATTGTTAGAGCTCGCTTTATATTGTTAGAGCTCGCTTTATATTGTTAGAGCTCGCTTTATATTGTTAGAGCTCGCTTTATATTGTTAGAGCTCGCTTTATATTGTGACACTTCCTTATTATATCCCACTGCTGACTGCTTTAGTTTATAAGACATTAAGTGCTTTTTTTTCTTCTTGTTATCAGCTAAATTCAGAAATATTTACAAAAATTCCTCCCTCCCAACTCATACCACTATTATATTACTATAATGTTATACTAATTACTATAATGTTATACTAATATATTACTAATGTTATTAACTATTTTCACCTACAGCGATGGCAGATAACAGTGCGGAGGCTCCAGCTCTTAGCAAGAGTGCTGCTAAGAAGCTAGCAGCGAAACAAGCTAAGGAAGCCAAGAAGGCCGAAACTCAGGCTAGGTTTGTTAAATAGTCCCTGTTTTGAAGACAAATTCTGTTTCAGTCAGGAGGTGACCGGGACATGATTTCAGGCCTGACCGGGACCGGGACCGGGATACAAAATGTGACTTGACCGGGACCGGGACTGGGACTGGGATAGCTCAAAATTGCCAATCCCGGTACCGGGATTCCCGGTACCGGGAATTCCGGTCGATTACTGGTTAATTCATGATCATAATTTATTACTCAAACTTGTTTAGCAATTTTAAACATCGTTGTATTTGGCTCAGAGGATGTTTAAAGATGAAATTCACATTGAATGAAAGGAAAAACTTAAAATCACAGTGAATGAAATTATGTAAAAGATCCCTGTCAAATTCCCGGCAAATTTGTGTGATTGACCGGGACCGGGACCAAGAATCCCGAATTAACCGGGACCGGGACCGGGATCATAAATCAGCATTTGACCGGGACCGGGACCGGGATAGCTCAAAATTGCCAATCCCGGTCACCTCCTGGTTTCAGTAAAGAGTTTTTGAGAACAGTTAACATCTGACTTTCCATGTTTTTCTATTGCAGGTATTTTGCAAAAGGGTAAAAAAATTATTAATGTTACAAGCAGGAACCTATAGGGGGGGGGGGGGCAATGGCATTAAATGGCATAAATGGAGAATTACCCAAGGGTTTTTCCATTTTCTCCATAGAAAAAGTCGCCATTTTATGCCATTTTATGCCATTGCCCCCCCAGTAAACGACCGGGGGTAGGATTTGGCCGGGGCCGGGGCCGGGGCCGGGAATGTCCAAATTTTGCCGGGGCCGGGAATTGGCCGTTCTGGAATTTGGCCGGGGCCGGGGCCGTGAATTTAATAAATCCACGGCCAAGTTAGAACTTTTCAGGACTTAGGATCTGAAAAACAAAGGACTGCTCTTGAAAGTTGGCACTCTGGACATCATCCTTTCAAAATTGAAGATCCATTTTAAGATTTATATGAAAGTTTTAGGCCGATTTCGATCAAAAATTCCCGGCCAAATTCCCGGCAAAAATTGAAAATCGGCCGGGGCCGGGGCCGGGAAGAAATAGCTCCCCCGGTGCCGGGATTTCACGGCGCCGGGAATCCCGGTCGATTACTGTGCCCCCCAACCTATCTAACTACTGTATTTATTTATTTAATGATTTTTTCCGTTCACCCTTTTGTGAAAAGGCAATAGTGAAAGGTTACGAATGGAGGTTTTTGCAGAAAAACGTGGATTTTGGAGAACGAGATAGGTGGGTTTAAATATGTCGTGTGTCCTTCCTTACGTCCGTTACCATGACAACTAGCGCGCAGTGCAGCGCGCGAGTATTGCTTGCGGAGATGTGATGTATATAGCTAGCCTGTCAATCACAATGAATGCGCGGCGCGAGTGTATTTTAATGTATACTGTGCAATGTATAGTATTAGGTTATAAGCCCAATTTGTACGTGGCAAACTGGCATGCGTAGTATAGTGTACTGATGTGTATCAATATTATTATTATGAAGTGAGCTGATTGGAGATTATATTTATAGTTATAGTGAACGGAAATCTAGCGTCCGCCAAAACGAAACAACGGGCGCAATTCTTGTTAAACCACTTTTGGGTTCAAATTTCGGAACCTAATGCTCTTAATCCTTGGCCAATTTTTAATTTCTTCATACTGGTAAAAACGGTAAAAAGGCCATAAAAGCATTCGACCCAGTCAAAAAAGTTCCAATGGTATTATCTCTCACTTGAGGTCTGAACTTTCTCGTACTCTGGAGCTGAGTGAGTATTAGGATTACAATAGCGACTGTTAATTATAAATCAGACGTTCTCGAGTTATTAACACAAATCAACTTTGTTTGGACACCCTCTATGTAATGCAGGTTAAAAGCTGAAGCTGATGCACGCGATGCTGACGATTACAGTAAAGATAGATATGGGAAATTACCCACCTGTAACAGCCATGAAAAGACAGATCGCAAATGGACTGAGGTTAGTCGTCATGGTCACTTAGGTTGATTTTCATGGCTACTAAATCATTTTAAATTATCATCATTAATTGTTCGTCACTAATTTTACAAATTCCTTTTCTGCTCGTAACTAAATACTAGAACACTAAATCATGTCCTGTTTCAACGATGTGTATACCTTAATTATAGGTCGTAACTTACCGTTAACTCAATGTTTGCATAGGGGAGACCTCCGTACTTATTATATATAGCTCAGAACAAAATAATATATAAATAATGTGCGCAAGAGCATCTTCATAATTATAATATTATAACGAAATTTTACACGTTCTTTTGTGTAACCTTCTCAAAGAATCCCCCAAGTCCCACCAAGTAGAAGATGTATTGCTAATTGCTTAACATTACCATAAGGTGGCGCCTTATATTTGTATATTAGAGACCGGTGCACTATGAGTGCACTGTGCAGCGCACAATAGTCCTTAACCACGTGTTTTGCTGTACTGTAAACTAGAGTGCACTGTGCAGCGCACAATAGTCCTTAACCACGTGTTATGCAGTACTGTAAACTAGAGTGCATTGTTAAAATGATGCCCCCATATTACATTGTCTGCCTAATCAATCACCTGTTAACTAATGTTAGCTGCAAAGCATTGTTTGTATGCGAGAGAAGTATGTAAAAAGGGGCTGGGTAGACAATAAAGAGGAGAACATGGAGGAGTGTTGTAGGTACCACGTGATGCCCATATAAGGAGTGGAGGAGTGTTGAGGTGGTTTACTGGATATTGTGTTTTTAAGGTCTTCAAGTCCCAGCTGGCATGGTGTAGAATTAAAAACACACACAAAAAAGATGTTTTAGTTTTCAGTTATCCGTACTGGCGATTTCGAATCTTTATTATAGAGATAAGTTGTGTTCATCATTTTTTTCAAAAATGTTCAATGAAAGGTTACGAATGGAAGTTTTCGCAGAAAAAGAGGGATTTTGGAGAACGAGGTAGGTGGGTTTAGATATGTGGTCAGTCCATCCTTCCGTCCGTTACCATGACAACGAGAAATACAGGGGTTGCTTGCGGAGATGTGGTGCATAGCCTGTAGTCAGTGTATGCGCGTCGCGTATGTATCTTAATGTATTATGCGATACAATAAGCACAATTTGTACGTGTCACGTATGTCGGTATGTCGTATAGTGTACTGATGTGTATAGTGTATAGTGTACTGATGTGTATAGTGTATAGTGTACTGATGTGTATAGTGTATAGTGTACTGATGCAATGTGTATAGTGTATAGTGTACTGATGTGTATAGTGTATAGTGTACTGATGTGTATAGTGTATAGTGTACTGATGGGTATAGTGTATAGTGTACTGATGTGTATAGTGTATAGTGTACTGATGTGTATAGTGTATAGTGTACTGATGTGTATAGTGTATAGTGTACTGATGGGTATAGTGTATAGTGTACTGATGTGTATAGTGTATAGTGTACTGATGTGTATAGTGTATAGTGTACTGATGTGTATAGTGTATAGTGTACTGATGTGTATAGTGTATAGTGTACTGATGTGTATAGTGTATAGTGTACTGATGTGTATAGTGTATAGTGTACTGATGCAATGTGTATAGTGTATAGTGTACTGATGTGTATAGTGTATAGTGTACTGATGTGTATAGTTTATAGTGTACTGATGTGTATAGTGTATAGTGTACTGATGTGTATAGTGTACTGATGTGTATAGTGTATAGTGTACTGATGTGTATAGTGTATAGTGTACTGATGTGTATAGTGTATAGTGTACTGATGTGTATAGTGTATAGTGTACTGATGTGTATAAGAGTTGAGTAATGAGTATAGTTCACTTTTTGCTTCCAATTTCTTAAAATTACAGATGAAAGTTAAGTTCTACAGCAATTTTTACGGCAATTAAATTGAATCACAAGTGTTTTCCGTATCTTAACAGTTAAAACCATAAAATTATGAAGTGAACTGATCTGAGAGCTTGCAGTGAACGAAAATCTGGCGTCCCCCACAACAACAAAAACGGGCGCAATTCTTTTTAATTGTGTAGGTCGACATTTTTTTGGATTTAGGTTGAAGATTAAAGTAAAGACGTCATGTTTATTAAAACTATTTATCTGTTCAGGTATAGTATTAGAAAACTTAATTCATCTTTTTATTGTTTATTATTTAATTAAATGAGTTAAGATATGCTAATTAAATAATTAATTAATTAACTGCTCAGGTAGAGAACCTAAGTAAAGACATGGTGGACAGTGAGGTTCTGGTGAGAGCTAGAGTCCATCTCAGCAGACTAACCGGCAAGCAGTGTTTCGTTAAACTCCGACATCGTTACTTCTCTGTTCAGGTAAGCAGTGTTTCGTTAAACTCCGACATCGTTACTTCTCTGTTCAGGTACTGGTGTACAGTGGACACTACAGCTGTTAACTCTATAAACAATTCGTCAAGTAGTTTTTTAATGTGTTAATTTATAATTTATCACAGTTCATTATTTGTTATTAAATAGCCTATAAATTAGTTCCTCCCCACATTACCCAGCCCAACTCTCTCAGGCAGTGTTTGTTGTAGATGAAAAGACAAGTAAACAGATGTTAAAGTTTATTGGAGGATGTCCTAAGGAGAGTATAGTGGATGTAGTTGGAACATTGGTAACTGCTGATAATCCTGTTGAGAGCTGCTCCCAGAAACATATTGAGATTCAGGGTTAGTGGGACTAGTTAGTAGTTACTAGTTACGCAGTTATTTGTTCTGTACACTATTTTAGAAGATCAGCCTGGTTCATTGGTTCATCTGCATTGTTTTAGCTAACGTATTACTCTAGAAAACCTGTTAGATGATAACTAGATATTATGGGCTTGAAACGAAACGGTAAAAAATAAAAATCTTATTAGCTGATTAGCTGATGTCGTGTGGACAATAGTAGTAGTAATGTACATTACTACTAATACTACCATAATTTGTACAGGGTGTTTCAAAATTCTTGCAAGGATAACTTTTTATCCATTTGTGTAAACTTGATTCTGTAAACATTTATTGGTACTTTTAAGGTTTAATGGCTACTAAACACCCAACCAGGAACTGCCCTGAATAAGTTATCTTATTTGCTTCCTATATGGATGTAAATGCAAATTAAGATCCAAGATATTAATAATCAGCTATCATATTAATTTATTCAGGATCGGCCCAAAACCTAGAGAGTTAAAAAGTTATCCTTGCAAGAATTTTGAAACACCCTGTACAAATTATGGTAGTATTAGTAGTAATGTACATTACTACTACTATTGTCCACACGACATCAGCTATGGTAATTTAGTGTATAGTCATAGACTGTGATGGTAATTTAGATCGAGTTTCGACCGGCCGTAAAAATACAAATTTAAACTGGCAGACTTGACCGGTAAACAGAAAACCAGGACGGTTCAAATTGGGTAGGCTTCCAAGTTGCGACAAAGTGAAAAACAAGATGATGTTTTCAGGTAGCACGTTTAACGTGGTGTCGGAAGCAGTGCCACAGTTACCGCTACAGATAGACGACGCATCGCGCCCACTTGCTGAGGACGGACCTGTAGTCAACCAGGACACCAGACTCAATAACAGGATCCTGGGTAAGTTACTAAGTTTTGGTACTCTATTTACTCACACAGCAGGGATATATATTTTCATTCGTCCAGTTTTTTCGATTTACTGGGATGGATTTATTCCCCTAATCATGGGCTTTTAACAATTCGGAATATTCTCACTGCACTCTGCAATGGGGGGGGGGGGGGGGGGGGGGGGGGGGGCAATGGCATAAAATGGCATAAATGGATAATTACTCAAGGGTTTTTCCATTTTCTCCATAGAAAAAGTTTCCATTTTATGCCATTTAAAAACTTAAAAATTTTGTTTTAAACCCAATTTTTTACAAAATTTTGACCTTAAAGGAAGAAATAACTTAAACACAATATTCATCTAGAATCTAAATATCATTTCGAACACCAAAAAGATATGTTTTGCCCTTTTATCGTATTTCGACCTTCAACAATTTTCCAGTATAAATTTTGTAAAAATTGTTTAAAATAATTTGTTTTTCAAATATCATAATTTTGGTACAAAACGTGGTTCTTTTGCGATAGTCAAAACGCGACAACTAGCACTGGATGGCGACAACTAGCGCTATCCAGCGCTAGTTGTCGCCATCCAGCGCTAGTTGTCGCTATCCAGCGCTGGATAACGCTGGCCAGCGCAAAATATATATGTTCGATAATTGTCGCTATCCAGCGCTAGTTGTCGCCATCCAGCGCTAGTTGTCGCCATCCAGCGCTAGTTGTCGCTATCCAGCGCTAGTTGTCGCTGGCTATGCGACACTGTCGCACGCGATAGTTTGCGATGGCCAGCGCAACTGGCCATCGCAGAAAACAGTTCGATAACTAGCGCTGGATAGCGACAACTAGCGCTGGATAGCGACAACTAGCGCTGGCCAGCGCTGGCCAGCGCTAAGCGATAGCCAGCGCTGGCCATCGATATCCAGCGCAAAATTTTTGCGCTATTACTCGTCAGCTAGCGCTGGCCAGCGCTAGTTGTCGCTATCCAGCGCTAGCCAGCGCTAGTTGTCGCTATCCAGCGCTAGCCAGCGTTAGCCAGCGCTAGCCAGCGGTAACCAGCGCTAGCCAGCGCAATGTATCAAAATCATATACTTGCGATATTACTCGGATGATGATTAATCACTTTACACTTGACTGTCACGTGCCTTTTTTAACCCATTCTCTGACTCTAGCTGGTTCTGAACGACTTTTCGAAACCCCAACCCTCTAATCTGATCCCAACCCTAACCCTAACCCAATCCTTAACAAAAACATATGCTGAAACCCTAACAATAACGAGAAATTAGGCTAACTTCCTTATACGGTCATATCACGTGATCGATACATGTACAGTTTTTCGCCAATATCTCGTCAGGAGAGCATTTTAACCCTATGTCATGGGCCCATGGGGGTTGATTCGGAATTAGCGTCCGAAAATACATCGATTGAAGTTGGACACAACCATCGGGGGCCCTTTTAGAACAATCTCGAAGATCGACTGTAGAGTGATTTAGCACGCTCGATATTAGTATTACTCGTCAGCCAGCACTGGCCAGCGCAATATAGTTGCGATATTACTCGTCAGCTAGCGCTGGCCAGCGCTGGCTAGCGCTGGTTAGCGCTGGCTAGCGCTGGTTAGCGCTGGTTAGCGCTGGTTAGCGCTGGCTAGCGCTGGCCAGCGCTGGTTAGCGCTAGCTGACGAGTAATAGCGCAAAATTTTTGCGCTGGATATCGATGGCCAGCGCTGGCCAGCGCTGGCTATCGCTTAGCGCTGGCCAGCGCTAGTTGTCGCTATCCAGCGCTAGTTGTCGCTATCCAGCGCTAGTTATCGAACTGTTTTCTGCGATGGCCAGTTGCGCTGGCCATCGCAAACTATCGCGTGCGACAGTGTCGCATAGCCAGCGACAACTAGCGCTGGATAGCGACAACTAGCGCTGGATGGCGACAACTAGCGCTGAATGGCGACAACTAGCGCTGGATAGCGACAATTATCGAACATATATATTTTGCGCTGGCCAGCGTTATCCAGCGCTGGATAGCGACAACTAGCGCTGGATGGCGACAACTAGCGCTGGATAGCGCTAGTTGTCGCCATCCAGCGCTAGTTGTCGCGTTTTGACTATCGCAAAAGAACCCAAAACGTTTGCCTTTCCAAGCTGAAAACAATCCTGTAAAAATATTTCCGAGATTTATAAGTTTTCACGTTTTCTATCCCGGTTTCGAAGTCCCCACATCACCCTCGATATACTTTCTTGGAGTCGAGGCTTCCCCTTTGTAATGCAATCTCGAAGGGCAGGCCTCTTCTATGCAATACGAGCTCGGAAGCGGGGAGTCTGCCTTTAGAAGTACGTATCGAGGATGACTCGGACCAAAAATTTTGAAGTTTTCTAAGTACAAAATGTTACTCTGATCATTATGAGCCGAAAATATTTTTCGGGACCTAGCCCTCGAGACTTTTTCCTGAAAATTAATGAAATTTCTGATTGATATCCGGCCAAGCACCTTCTTAACTACTTACTATCTAGCCGGATATTCGATCGATTTATAAATTATTTCACTATCAGAGTGAAAATGAATGGAATTTGAATTGCAAAATAGTCGAATTGATCTTGGCCTTTAGTAGCCTGGTATGAGTCTCATGTAGCCTGGTATGCGAAAATAAACATGTTAGAGTGTCCAAGTAAGCTGCCACATACGTAATTCGATGATCAAAATTCATGGCATAAAATGGAGAATTACTCAGGGTTTCTTCATTTTCTCCATATAAAAAGTCATTTTATGCCATTTTATGCTATTTTATGCCATCGACCCCCCCCCCCCTCTGTAGTAAGAACTCACATACTACATTTTCATACTACAACCCCCCCCCCCCCTACAACGTAACTATGACAATGACAACCCCCAGATCTGAGAACGCCAGCTAACCAGGCCATATTCCGTATTGGTCACGGAGTGGCAGCCTTGTTCAGGGAATACCTGACTAGTGTTGGTTTCACTGAGATTCACACACCCAAGATAATATCCGCTGCTAGTGAGGGTGGCGCTAATGTTTTCCAGGTCTAGTACTATGTTTACAGTATGATATCTGGCAAGGAATCAAATTATTCCTATTTTCAAATGATTAAAGTGCAACGATTTAGAATTTGCGGTTGAAATCTCTGATAATAATAGTAGAGGGTCTTACCGTATTTCTATTCTATACTTTTCTAAAAAGTGATCCGATAATGATTGGATTGATTCCTGGATATTTTCATTTGCTGACCCTAATGAGAATCTCTAAAAAACCGCTGATTCTAAATTGGTGCCATATGTTTTAAAGTCTTATAGTCGTAATGAAATTCTCGAAGTTTATAATTATAATACGAAATTTCAGATTTGACGAGTATCTGTTTCAGGTGTCGTACTTCAAAGGTAACGCATATCTAGCTCAGTCCCCACAGCTGTATAAGCAGATGGCAATATGTGCTGACATCGAGAAAGTCTTCACGGTTAGCAATTGATCCCCTTTTTCATTTTTGGTTATTAATCAGTTCATTAATTTCATAAATGAAATTTAAATCACTCGCTGTTGATGGTTGCGTAATTTCTGTCCTGGCCCCTGCTAGGTTGAGGCTGGCTTTTCGTTGTCATCCCAGCCTCCTTGAAATGATAATGTCCTCTTTTAAACTCTAGAGGCTAGCATTTAGGCAGAAAGGAGCAAATATATGATATATTTACAGGTAGGAGCAGTGTTCAGAGCAGAGGACAGTAACACACACAGACATTTGTGTGAGTTTGTAGGACTGGATATTGAGATGGCGTTCAAAGAACACTACCACGAGGTGAGCCGTCTTTTATTTGACTTTACATTTTTACTCATTTTGTTAGTTGTATTTAATGTTTCACGTTAAATTTGATTAAATATTAACCGTGAACCCAATTAAAAACGAGCCTTGACCCGAGCTACGCTATACTAACGAATCAATCACCGATAATTAATTTTTCGATTAATTGGTCTCACAATTAGGTTCTGACAGTGATAGGAGAGATGTTCCTGAGCATGTTTAAAGGACTACAGACTAAGTATGCTACCGAGATAGATACTGTGTACAAACAATACCCTCAAGAAGCCTTCAAGTTCATAGAACCTGGTTAGTTTTATAGATACTGTGTACAAACAATACCCTCAAGAAGCCTTCAAGTTCATACAACCTGGTTAGTTGTATCGTATTCTTTGAAGTCTGGGTGAAGGGGAGGAAGTCTTCATTTCCTGCTCGTTGATTGAAATGCAGAGATGATTACATAATTACTAGCTGGATATATTATTATTATTATCATTATTATCACAGTATGCCTCACTGTAGCTGTCGTCCTTTAGTTTTAAAGAGAGTCTTTGATTTAGTACACGAAGAGTTTTGTTGGCCACATATTATATTGAAAAGAAAAGAATGCAATATGCATAGTCTCAACAGATCCTTTAGCGTTGACAGAATGTACTATAATATATAGTTAAAGGTGATAACAAACTCTTATTTCTAACCTTCTCGCAGCCTTGAGACTAGAGTGGCCGGATGCAATCAGCATGCTACGTGAAGCAGGGGTAGATATTGGAGACTTTGAGGACCTCAGCACACCTCAGGAGAAATTCTTGGGCAAGTTGGTGAAGGCGAAGTATGATACAGACTTCTATATTCTGGATAAGTTCCCACTGGCGATCAGACCATTCTACACCATGCCTTGCCCTCATGACCCCCTGTAAGTGCCTCACATTGTCTTATCAAAATCTGACCTCTGATATCTCAAAAAATGGAATTGATCCTCAAAAACTTCAATTCTTTTAACTTCTAGTGCGTTTCCAAGTTAGTAGAAGAATAATGTTTTAAAGTAATTATATTTCTGTAATTATATTTCTGTAATTATATTTCTGTCCCAAAGATTTGACTAGAAAATATATCACAAATATTTACAGATACAGTAACAGTTACGATATCTTTATGAGAGGAGAGGAGATAATGTCGGGCGCTCAGCGTATCCACGACCCCGCAATGCTGGAGGAACGGGCAAAGGTACACGAGATCGACCTTCAGACCATCAGATCCTACATCGACTCTTTCAAGTAATATATCCCGCTCAAGTTATTCTTCTATTGAGCATGAATCGAAATTTTCGTTATGTAGGTGTAATTTCCGTTTTATGCCGCTTAAAAGTCCTAGAAAGTGATAAGCCTAACATCAGGTTCGGAGCGAGTCCTCACGCTGGTGGAGGAGTCGGAGCCGAGCGAGTCCTCATGTTATATCTGGGACTCGACAACATCAGAAAATCGAGCATGTTCCCTCGTGACCCTAAACGACTGACGCCATAAGTATAAGATGTTTTAGATGTTGTCATGGCTTAGGACAGGATACTAGTTTTGCTTTAACTGGGTTTAGCTGCGCTAAATTAGCTTTCATTTGAAGACGTAACGCTTTATCTATTATGGAGCGAGTTTACAAGGAACATTCCTGTCCTAATCTTTGTTTTAGCGATTTTTAAAGAATTGCTTGGGGATCTTTCATCTTTATTTATTTATTTTTAACGGGTGTACACTGTACATTAGAAATTGACGGTTCACTTATTGATAAGAATTGTTGTTCTATTTGTCACTACTCCGGCTCAAACAACACGGCACGCAATACTCTTCCAGAGTTTACTTATTCCGTGTAACAATATTTGGAACGCGGTCGAGTTTCTCACAACTGGAAATATATGATTTTCTTCAAACCTTCTAGATATTATTACTGATATCTCAAATTTGGCACAAAGAAATTTACCCAAACTTACATAGATTATCAGTCTTTAATAGCCATCTTACTATTTGGAAAGTTTGAGTAAAATTGTATAACCTTTTTTGAGAAAATTAATCCAAGTCATTTCTAAAAACAATCGATTTTTGCCTTTTTGATTCGGAACAGATTAGCAAAAAGTCCTTCACTGCGGGGCCCGAATCAAAAAGGCAAAAATCGTAGCAGTGCGGGCTACGTGTGAGCATCTTTTTACGTAACGCGCGATAGCAAAACTGTAATGAAAACACTCTGTATGATCACAAGTCGCACACAAGTGTTTTTTTATATAAATACCAAACTCTAACTGTCATGAAGTTGTAACTACAAACTAGTTCGGTCCGAGCTAACAGCCGTGACCAATGCGTGGGGGTCTACTTACCTGTATGCTGTAGTCTACAGGTGAGTAGACTCGCCGCCCACAACTATTATATTATTTATTATATATATTAGCTCGGTCTCACCTAGTTACATCTTCATGACTGATGACAGTAACGAGTCGTTCACATATTACGTAATCAGCTGAGGGGGGGGTCCGAATGATTACGCTAGTGTAATTTTGATACAATAGCTATGTGTAAAACTAATTACGGAGGGGGGTAAAAATTTTCCAAAAATGATAACGTAATATGTTAACGACCCCTAATTTAAATTATCACTCACGAACGTGTATATTATATAAACGTGGTATTAATGCTTTTCAAACAAAGTTCAACCCTGGGCCTGGGTAGTGGGTTTGGACAGGATATGCCCGCGTTTAAAATATTTCCATCGCGTTACATTACATAATTCCCAAATTATTTGTTATATACAGGGTGGCCCAAAAGTAACTGCCCACACACACAACCCTTTAATAACTCACATAATTCTTTTTAGAATTGCACCGAAATTTCAGAGATTATAGCATATGGGTCAAACTTAGGCAAACCAGTTAGGCCACGAGGTCATGTACTGTAATGTAATATTTATATATCTCATTGATTCACGATGTCAATCCTTCGCAGCTCGGTAAGGCCCAGTGGTGCATCTCGCCGATCTACCGAAGAAGAATTATTTGATGCACGGCGCGGCCCAGTAGTGCATAGCGCTACAATATATTCCAATAAAATCTACAAAACGTGTTCGCGCGTTCCTGCAACTTAAAAGTAGTATCTAATACTAGTACTACTAGTATTAGCAATTAGATTCTTACAGATTTCTGGGAATCAAGAATAACCAGAAATATACGCCGCGCGTTTTCTTTTGCGCGTTTTTGTCCAAGGAATCAACAAGAATCTAGCTAGATCTCATATATGTAATGCGCTCGATTCGAAAGTCTTAAGAAATAAGACCCCCTGTGAGCGGCTTTTACTAATTCGCTCGCCCAAAAATTTTACGTGACTTTGGTTTTTATGGTTTTGTTCACCTAACCATGTGCTTTCGCGCCGCTGCGGGCGTCTGGATAGAGCAAATGGTTTTGCAGCCGTACAAAACGGTTTTACACAAACCCTAACCCTAACGATAAATTAGCCTAACTTCCTTATATGGTCATATCACGTGATCGAGACAGTTTTTCGCCAATATCTCATCAGGGGAGCATTTTACCCCTATGTCATGGGTGGAAATTCGAAATCAGCGTCCGAAAATACATCGATTGAAGTTGATTACAACTGTTGGGGGCCTTTTAGAACAATCTCGAAGATCGACTGTAAAGTGATTTAGCACGCGCCTGAGAGCAACTGATTTTAATTGAATTTAAATATTAACTAGTTCAAACTTTTGCACAATCAACACCTGATGCGAGCAAAGTGAAACAGGTATGGTATGCAAATGATGCAGCAGGTGGAGGCAAACTGGTTGATGTTCTTAGATGGTGGGATAAACTTAATGAAACCGGGCCACTGTTTGGCTAAGGCAGCCAAAACATGGCTCATTGTTAAACCACATTGCAAAGAGAGAGCTGAAAGAATGTTTCCCAATATACAGGTATCAGAGGTTGGGCACAGATATCTTGGATCATTCATTGGAACTGAGGAGGGGACAAAATCGTTCGTAGATGGACACGTTCATTTGAGATTGAGGATATTGGTAAATATAAGTGACCCTATTAAAAGGCACAGTGTAGGTGACTTTGTCACACTATGAAATTACACAAACCCTTGATGGTTAAGATAATCGTCTCATCCTCTAGGCTAACTTTGTCACTTAACGATATCTTAATCAGGTGATAAGATATCGCTTAAATACGGCCGGCACGGAAATGGTTACATTGTCACAATATAAACATGTGACGGAGTAAATATGGACCCCTTGCTGCCGTTTTTGACAACATTTTTGAGTGTCCAGTTGATTGGATGGGTAAATATGACCATTACCTACATATTTGACGACTTTTTTCGTTAGATGGTGCACTCAGGTTTACTCTGTCACACATTTAAGAAAACATGTGAAGAATGTTTAGGGCACCCTGATAAGCAAAACTGAGTAGTGTACGTTTATTTGATGGCCTGGAAGTGCTAGGAATTGTTATTATATCATATAGTCGTAAGGAATTAAAACACAGAAGGCACAAACAAGTTTACTTTGTCACATAATCTTGATGATATCTGAACATGTGTGAAATTAAACAAATAATGATATACCAGCTTAAACCCCTTATATTACATACTATGGATCAAACAACACTGCTTGTACCACGCACCAGTCACATAAATCATTATCGGGTGGTAATATGTTAACAGTGTCACAATTAAACTACTGCACCATGGTCAAAAATAGGGTAATTTCGTCACAAAAAAAATATTATAACTCTGTTAGCTCCTTGCTGGCAAAATAACTAGTTCATTGATGATAAAGTTACATAGTATTCTAATAGAGGTATAGCTCTTCAAAATAGGGGCAAGACATGTTTACTTTGTCACATCAGTTATTGTAATCGTCATCAGATTAACAGATCTTTTTCGTAGTTTGGATTGATTAATATAGGCAATAAAGCATCCTATGCCAATTTTAACACACTATCTTGATATTGTTGGGGCAGGGAAAGTTAATTTTGTCACATTTTCAGCGTCTTTGACAAATTAATCTAAAATTGTTAAACTTGAGCTCTGATGTTCTAGACAATATTCTACCAATCGTTTCTGAAAGAATGTTGAATTCTAATAGAGTTATAGATCTTCAAAATAGAGGCAAGACATGTTAACTTTGTCACATCAGTTAGGTAATCGTCATCAGAATAACAGATCTTTTTCGTAGTTTGGATCGATTAATATAGTCAATTAAGCATCCTATGTCCATTTTAACACACTATCTTGATATTGTTTTAATACTTTCAACACTACTATATAACAAATAATTTGAGGACCCCGAAACTCCTGAGTTACATATCTTACAAGATTTTTCATCTGTCTCCATCTTACCAAAAGAATGGTAGACTCCGATCAAAGCTCAGGGGGGCTGGACTCCTCAAATAATGTCTTACAGGGGCAACATGATAACAATGGTAATGATAATGACAATGATGATAGTGCCAGCCCCCAGCCCCCTTGTATTGTTGTGAACGATCTACGTATGTTAGCTGCTGATGGAATCTGCAGAAACTGCTCGTCCGATACTAAAGGAGAAGTGGTATGTTGTTATGAATGTAAGAGCAATTTTCACGCTACTTGTTATGAAATGAAGGACAATAGACGTGTTAACTTTACTGATAATGTATGCTCTCCGTCCTTACTGAAATCTTTCAATGCTAACACTGAATCAAAACAGAAAAGTAAACGTTTTGGAAATTTCCTCTTCCATTGTGACTCTTGTGTTACATTAGAAAACCTGAGAAACGCTGCTGATTTAAAAACCCATGTGCACACCCTTGAAACCAAAATGTCAAAACTAGATGCTGACATAGTCACCATAAAAAATCTCTTGTTAAATCCTGCCACTTTTCATGGGTTAAGTATGGCAGCAGAAAACAGTTCTACATCACCGACCCTCCCTCCAGTTAATAGTATCCCTGAACATGGCGTCCACAGTAGCGTCATTGAAAATCCCTGGTGTGACAGCAACAGAGTAGAAAAACTGAGACACCCAGCTTCAGTAATAGTCTCTGATGCAGGAGAAAAAGTTCCATTATCTGACCTAAAAACTATTATCACAGAAAATAACATTTTTGTAGATAATACCTTCGAAAACAAGAAAGGTGAGACAGTTATCACTACATCTAGTCAAGCTGATCGAACAAAGCTAGTTAATTCTATCTCCAAAAAATTTCCCCATTCTGCTCTCAAGCAACCTATAAACAAATTGCCTACGATATCCATCTCAGGGATTAGAGATGAAATCACACCTGATGATCTCTTTGAAACCATTATGAAACTTTACCCTGACATCAAGTCCCTCATTGATTCTGGTGAGACATTCTCTGTACTCTCAGTGCGCAAACAAAGAAATCATCAAACAGAGAAACCACTGTTCCAAGCTTCTGTTCGAGTGAGCAATGCCATACGGAAGTTGATAGAAAATCGTGACAATTTCCTATCAATAGGACTGTACCGCTGCAAGGTATATGATCACTTTTACATCAAACGATGTAATAAATGCCAAAAGTTTGGTCATTACTCAGCCCAATGCAAAGCATCTAACCATGTCTGTGCTCATTGTACTGAAGATCATGAAACTAACTCATGTACAAATAAAGACACAAATTCATTCCATCCCTCCTGTGTAAACTGTAAAAATTCTAAGAGAACTGATGAGCAATACACTCACTCAGCCACAGACAGATCATGCCCAGCGTATATCTCTGAACAGCACAAGCTTAAGCAATCAATCTCATATTACACCCAAAAAAACTGGTGAAGAACAAGACTGGAGTTAAGAACCTAAGCATGAGATGTGCAAGCTGGAATGTTCGCTCTCTTAATAACAAAGTTGACCATGTTATGAACTTTTTAGAAGATAATAATATCTCTATTTTCTTTGTCACTGAAACATGGCTAACTGATGAGAACAATAATACCACTGCACAAATAAAAAACCATGGCTATAAACTTTACCAAATGCATCGCAAAGACAAATCAGGTGGAGGTGTTGCCATAATCTACAAATCATGTGTTCGTCTAATCAAAGTTTTTGCCAACAATGACGGTTCATTTGAGGCAATTAATGCAAAACTGAAACTGGTTGATGGGTCTGTCGTATTCTGCTCTTGTATCTACCGTCCACCTGGGTCCTTGGGAAAGTTCCTTTCTGATTTTGAAGATTTCTTGACTGATGCATTTTCTAAATACAAGCATTTCTTGTTATGTGGGGATGTTAATATGCACCTAGATAGAATCTCTGCTCATGTGAGTGAGTGGAGCACCATACTATCATCTTTTGGGCTTCATCAACTTGTCTTCTCACCAACACATAAAAAAGGTCACATTCTTGATCCTGTCATTGCTTCACACAAAGTAGTAGATCAAAATTCCGTTGAGGTGATGCAAAACATGGCCAAAAGCTTTCCATCCTGTGACCATTATCCAATTGTATTTCAGCTTCATAAGCCTCCTGACATTGACAAATGTGAAAAAGTCATACGCTTTAGAAAGATCAGAGACATAGATCAGGAACAATTTAAAGGTGATTTATCTGTTGCTCTATCTGAGTTGGTTTTTGAAGGAAAGAGCTTCTGTGATGTTGTGACTCAATTTGATAATGGGTGTCAACATATTCTCAATTTACATGCTCCAGAATATTCCAAAACCATCAAAGATATTCCCACAGCCCCCTGGTTTGATGGTGAATACAAAGTTGCAAGAGCCGAAAGAAGGAAAGCAGAGACAGCCTGGAAAAAGTCAAGTCTTGACATTGATCATTCTATCTTCGTTCATTTGCGAGAGCACTGTTCAGAGCTAGCTGACAAAAAGAAAAAGCTGTTTTTCTCTAATACTTTCCAAAAATACAAACATTCACAAAAGAGCCTCTACAAATTTGTAGACACTTTCCTGGATAAAGAAAAGAACCTCACATTACCATCTTCAGAAAATCTTCAGGAAACTGTAAATGACTTTAACCATTATTTTACTGAAAAAATTGAGAAAATCCGTGCGTCATTTCCCAACACTACTGTGACTAATAGCTCTCCAAACTTTAATGGCCAGGCATTATCTGAATTTAGAAAAGCTACTATTTTTGAAGTTAGAGAAATGATCAAAGAATCTGGCATCAAAACCTCATCGATTGATCCACTACCTAAAGAACTCCTGTCAGAGCACCTTGAGCTAATCCTTCCTACCCTTTGTGATATTATCAACGTTTCCCTTTCAACCGGGAGTATGGAGGGAATCAAGCTAGCACATCTCACTCCTCTTATCAAAGGTGATTCCCTAGACACTGAGAACTTAAAGAATTATAGGCCCATCTCTAATCTTACATTCATCGGTAAACTCATTGAGCGCTTTGTATTAAAATGCCTTAATGAACATCTAACCAAGAATAATCTCAACATTGACCACCAGTCTGGTTACAAAAAGCATCATAGCACAGAGACACTCCTCATTACCATAGTCAATGACCTCCTTATAGCCAGCAATGAAAACACAGCTACAGTTGTAATGCTTTTAGACCTGAGTGCTGCATTCGACACTGTTGATCACAGCAAATTAATCAACATATTGAAGTATGAGATTGGGATTGAGGGAACTGCCCTAAAATGGTTCACCAGCTTCATCCGTGGCCGTTGTCAAAAAGTCAAGATCGGTGACCTAGAATCTGAAGAAATTGTTATAAAGTTTGGTGTCCCACAGGGCTCAGTCCTTGGCCCTGTGTTGTTCAATATCTACATCCGCTCCATTTATTCTTCTGTAAAATCAAAGCAATTTCTGATCCATGGCTATGCTGATGATCATCAGATTTACAAGTCATTTTCGTCTGCTACAGAATATGAGGTCCTTAGCGAAGACCTGCCTTCCTGCTTTCAAGAAATTGAGAGCTGGATGACGGATCACTTCCTTCTACTGAATCCTACAAAAACGGAGATTATAGTTTTTGGTTCAAAACGTTTATTGTCGGAATTAGAAATTGGTGGTGTCTTCCTTAAATCTTCTGTCTGTATAAGACTCGTTAATGTTACTAAAAACCTTGGCTTTACATTGGATTCCTCACTGTCTCTAAATCCTCAAATAAAGAAGCTCAAAGCTGCAAACTGCCACAAGATGCGAAACATTGCAAAGATGAAACCATTCCTCTCTGAAGCCCAAATGCAAATCATCGTACAATCTCTTGTTATTAGTTCCCTTGACTACTGCAATGTACTTTACTTTGGAACGAATCATTCTGTTTTGAAACAGCTACAATCTCTGCAAAACAGAGCATGCCGCTTAGTTAAAGGTCTAAAGAGGAGAGAAGAAGTTGAGCCCTACTTAAAAGAACTTCATTGGCTCAAGGTACAAGAACGTATTGAATTTAAAATACTCCTGCTAACTTTCAAACTGCTCCATGGGCTAGCACCTTCATACCTGTCAAACCTTGTCAAGTACAATTCCAGTGGTGGCAGAGATGTGTCTCTTCATTGCCCCATAAACAGTCCACCCAGAGCCTTCTCTTCATCTGCTCCAAGATTATGGAACAATCTTCCTCAAGAAATCAGGAAATGTGTAAACATCAAGGACTTTAAGGGAAAACTTAAAGCTCACCTGTTTAGAAAGTCCTTTGATTTGTACTGAGTAACTTATCCATTATAGAAGGTTTTAAAAAACAATTTACATCTATAGCAGGTCATTTTTACGCTTTAAATTAAATTATTTTAGGCTTTTAATTTTCAAGGATTTTTGGGCAACATTTAAGATAATAATCTTTTTTGCGTTTCATTGTGTCTGCCAACAAAATTGTATTGTAGGTCAGAAGAGGAGGCTCTATCCTGGGACACCAACATTTTTTGGGTTGGCACCCGGGAGAAAGCTACCTTATTCTTTGTATTTTGTCTCAAGTACTAGAGCATTTTTTTCCTCTCTTTATTTCACCGTCTCTACTTTTATGTTGCCCAGATTGTTTGGTATGACTGTATTGGATCTTCAGATATAATTTTTATCGTCAGTTACTGTTCTGCAGTAATCTCTTTCAATCAATTTTTATTGTATATTGGAGTATTCAGATTGTTTGTATATTTGGAGTCTATAGAATTTCTATAGAATTTTTATAGAATTTTTAATATTTTAGGGAATTTCATTTTTATTATCCTGATTTTTACATTTGATAGGCTGATGAGTTTCATAATGTGATTTCTTGCAGTCATCATCCTTTCCTCAAGTCCTATGTTAGAAAACCTGCTAAGCCTGCTTGTTAGGTGCATCTGCCTTATTTAGTCACGATTTTATTAACAGTTTTTA